ATTTGAAAACACAGAATTACCTATATGTCTCATATTTCTGGCTCATGTTGCACATCTATTGAATAGCAGTATTTATGAATGATCCTTAGAGTAATTATATGTTAAAGACATCAACACCCAGAATATACTGGATTAAATAAAACATATCACAAAAAATAATCAGTTTCCTTTCCCTTTCCTAACCCATTAGAAAACAGAGAATGATCCTTGTGGCTTCTCCCCTACCTGCCGGGCAGCGCTGCTCTCCATCCTCACTGGCTTTCTAGCCTGTCTTTGTCATGGGGGCTGTGCTTTTCCTACAGAACCAAAGACCATCTTCTTAGGCTTTGGCCTTATGCAGGGATACAAGGCTCTCTCTTTAAGGCGCTACTGCAGGGATACAGAGGCTCTCCTTAAGGCACTACTAACAGTCATAGAAGTACAGGTTGACTTGCTGGACTATCAGGGTTGTGGAGAAAACTGATAACTAATCACCTGCCATTATTAGGACAGGGAAGAAAGCCCCCATTTTCTATGCTTAGCTCCAGGGCCTCTTGTTAGTCCTGGGGAGCTGAAGATAAGCCCAAGATCACCAAGAGATTCCAAGGAGCTCTCAATCTCAAATCCAGTTTGAAGTATCCGGGGCCTATATCACCCAGGATTTATCAGTGAATTTTTGTTTGGTTTGTTTTTGAGCCAGGGTCTCACTACGTAACTCAGGCTTGCCTGGATTCATAATCCTTTAGATTTCTGAATGCTTGTGTTAAAATTACAAGTGTGAGCCATTATGTCAAACTTTAAATGGACTGGAGAGAAGGCTCCATACTCAAGCAAATTTGCTATTTTTTTTACTTAAACTATTTTAATTTTAATTACTTTTTTAATATACTAAAATATTTAATGACTTTAACACAGAATTGATGTGTATATTGAAATATAGACATTTCCCTCAACAACTCAAGGTAAGTAGTTTATTTAAACTATTTTAATTTTAATGACTTTTTTTACAGTTACAAGATATAGTCAGGAATATGTATCATCCCATATACATAACACACATTTGATCCCATACAGGTCTGCCAGGTCCTCTAGCACAAGGTAATGTAGTGTAGAAATCAATCAATTATTGATGGGAAATGTGCTAAAGGCCTCAGAATTTCATTTAAAAAATCATGTCAATACGCTATTCTTGCAGAGGACTCAAGCATGGTTCTAAGCACCAACATTTGGCAACTCACAATCACCTGTAACTCCAGCTTCAGCAGATCTGATTCCATCTTTTGGCCTCAGAGGGCAGCCACACATGTGGCACGAATACGCATGTACACATAAACAAAAATAATCAAAATAAAGGTAAAAAGCAAACCCTTAAATTTGTTTATTAATTTATTTTTGTCTATTCAATATGTATGTTTGTTGATTCTGGGGTTATTAGAACCAGCTTTGGCCACCCAGCAAAACAAAAATTTTTAACAGAACTGAATTTTATCAAAAGACATTTTAAACATAGATGATTACATTTTTGGGGGGAGGTCAGAGTCTTGCTATGTAGCCCTGGCTGTCCTGGAACTCTCACTACATACACAAGGCTGGCCTTGAACTCCTACTGATTCAGCGCCTCTGCCTCCTGAGTGCTGGAATTAAAGTCATGTACCACTACTCCTGGTTCAACATAGATTTTTAAGCACAGAAAAAATAAGGAAATAATAAAACATACTCAAGTGTAAGTACGAATTTCTTACAGGAGAGTCACCTAAATAACCCCCTCAGATTAATTTACTTATTTAATTATTTTTATTCATGTATCTGTGTCTATGTCTGACATGTGTTGTTTGTGTGGGCCTTAGGAGGCCAGAAGAGGGTGTCAGGTCCTCTGGAGACAGAGTTATAGGTAGATGTGAGCCCCCCAACATAGGTGCTAGTCCTCTGCAAGAGCAGCAAGAGCCCTTAAGTGCTGAGCAATCTCTCCAGCCCCCCTAAGCAAGCTTCATAAATGTTGTTGTCCACGCTCTGTGTTCTTCAAAACTAAGTAGAGAAGTAATAGAACAACGTTGTAAAAACCCCATACAGGAATGCTCAGCAGAATTTCTTCTGAAGATGGAAACGTCCAGCATGATAATTATTAGGCACACATGGTTATAAAATCTTAAGGAATTTAAATTGAGTTGTAAATACACGAGACTAGTGACTACATTTTTTCCTTTCCCCGTTTGTCTTTTATTTCTTTTCTTTTGTTCTTAGCTTTGTAGTTTCATATTTTTAGTGGCTGTATTTCATACAATGCAGTTCAATAATTCCAATGTTTCTCTTCCTTATATAAAAAAGAAGCCAAGTATGTTGATGAACAGATATAATCCCAGCACTCAAGAAATGAAGACCAAAGTAAGGTTTAAAGGCAGCCTCAGCTACAAAGCAATTTTGAGGCCAGCCTGTGCTGCATAAAACCCTGTCTCAAAAAAAAAAACCAGCAAACAAATAAATGTAGGAAAATCCAGGGCATTAAAAATGGTACAAATTTGTTATTACATACAATGCATCATTGATGTAATTACAAATTTGTACCATTTTATTCTCCATCATCTTCTTTATAACTTTCATTAAATTAAAAATTACTAAATCATCAAATTCATTTTCCTATGTTTTAAGATATTATGCCTAATTTTTTTAATGAAACAATTAGGCTAAATGGTACTCTGAGTGAAAGTGATTTTGTTTTCATCTTGGGTAATGGGCATATAGCTTATTAAGTCCTCAAGAGTTACTAACTGCATCTGGGGAAAACAGCAAACAGTAATTTGAATAGACAGCCCATGATTACTGAACAGAGAAAAAAGGTGGAAGGCAATTAGCACAATGCTTCTGAATTTGCCACAATCTCCTACTTCCCTTTTATTCCGTGTTCTGCTTTATGTTACCTTAAAATGGCCAGATTTGAAAGCTGGATATAGCGGTGCATGACTGAATATTGGCACTCCTGGTGACTAAGACAGGAAGAAGATCAAGATTTCAAGGCCATCCTGGGCTACGTAGTGAGCTGGAAGTCAGCATGTGTTACACTAGACCAGACAAACAACACATAAAATGGTCATATTTGAAGATTTGAGATAGCACCCAACCTATGACGATGACACAGACGACGAAGATAAGAATGGTCACGATGGGGTCTAGAGAAGTGGCTCCAGGATCAAAGAGCAGACGTTGCTCTTGCACAGGAACTGGGTTTGCTTCCCAGCACATGGTGGTTCACGACCATGTGTAACTCTGGTTCCTTCTTCTGACCTCCAAAGACATTCCCCTACATGCATGCGCTGCGCAGACACACATGCGGGCAAGACACATCCAAATAAAATGAACAAATCTTTTAAAAAAGGAACGCGCATGATCCTAAAAGAAGCTTGCCAGAACTGAATGGCTAGGCATTGCCAACCTCTTGTGTCCGTCTAGGCGGCCTTCCGTGGGGCTCCGAGCTGTCAGAAACAATGAGTGTGGTCTTTACAATTCACAGTTAAGCAGGGGAAGGACGGCCTGCAGAGGAGGAAATTTGCTCACGGGGGCAACAAAGACCATAACATTCTCCTGCCTGAAAACAGTCTGGGGCAGTGTTACATGCCAAGAGCCAAAGAAACGGAAAATGTGCCCCATTCCCCCCCCCACACACACACCAACTTAGAAAGAAGAACATTAACTTCTCATTTATTAAGATGCATGAGAAAATTATTCAAGGTAAATCGACCTTCTCTGCCACTTCTGCCTGCCGAACGCTGGCCTAATACCAGGCAGACAGGATAGTAGATGGTTAACTTTCAACCTACGGCTACAACAAAAAAGAGGAAAACTTTAGTAGCCGGATCAATATGACTAATTGTTTCCATCTTAGGCCTTCGACCACAAAGTACCAGAATTCATAGTAAGCCAGTCTGGATAGGATGTGGGCATGCTTGTAGGAAGCCACACCCAACAACCAGAAATTTCTTATGACTCAGGCCAATTTCTTTTATTAAGAAGACACCCAGTGCTGAAGGCAAGTAAGGAACTTACAGTTAAAATAGATTTGTGGAGCAGTTTCAGAATCCTGGGCTTAAGCTAGATTAACACCATTTTGGCAAGCATTATCTTCTTTGCCCATCTTTTAATTATATATATATATATATATGTATATATATAATTACATATATATGTATGTTCAGGGAGAAACCTAGATCTCAGCGCAGGCCAACATTCAAAAAGTCTGTGTGAGGCTTTTTTTTTTTTGATAGTGAAAATTTTCTCTTTAGTGCTATACTTAGCTACTTCATCTGCCCATAAACACAAGTGCACACACCATCTTTCCTCATTATCTCAGTGGTTCTTAACCAGGGGGCAGTTTTGTTCCCTAGAACTCACTGGAAAATGTCTACAGACACTTGTGGTTCTTCTAACTGGGGTGGGGGTGGGTTGCGACTAGGATCAAGGGAGTAAACACACTCCCTCACAGCCCTGCACCCAGGCCAGGGGGGAAGAAGCCCTGCAACACCATAGCATGGGCAATAACGTGTGCCTCCAAGGGAGCCACAGGGCATTGAAAGACCATCTGCTACCTCATTTGAGCTCACGTGTTTACAGCAGAGCGCATGCTGGCAAGCTGGTCCGCTAGAATTAACTCTGGGATTTCTAACTCCAGACAGAATATTTCGTTCGTTCAGAGCACGAAGACAATGACCCACTTGCAAAACTTAATATGCAAATTCTATAAATGTAAGACCCATTGCAACAGTTTGCAGTCTGTGTGTCAACCTTAGTTTTTTTTTTTAAAAAAAAAAAAAACAGTAAGAGCTCAGCCTTCAAGACATCTCAAATTTTCATAGCCCTGTCTACTTTCAGCGTGACATCATTTAGCATAAAGATCTAAAAGAACTTTCCATGTCTGCTGTCATTACAGTCATGTTCACAGGTTTGGTTTGGTTTTTTGAGACAGGGTTTCTCTGTGTAGCCTTGGCTATCCTGGAACTCACTCTGTAGACCAGGCAAAGGTGTGCGCCAACATCGCCGGGCATGTTCATAGTTCTTAAGGTGTGTAAATTTCGTTTTTTTTTTTCCTGCCGACCTTTTTACTCTTAAAGGACTGGAGTACTCACAGGCTCGGTTCCGGGTTCTGTAAGTGCAGGTATAGAGACTGCAGGACCTCCGTGGCGTAGACCTCGGAACCTGGAACCTTCTCCACAGCAATGTACACGGAGATGCGTGCAGAATCACTCTCAGGTGATTCATCAGCGGCATCGTCAGCTTGGAATCTCCAGCAGTGGCTACACGCCTCGAGAGAGCCTAGAAACCTGCAGGACGGAGGAAGGAAAGCTATACACCACAGGGAGTGGAAAGCCCGAGGACAGCTCTGAGAGGAACGAGAGGACCGCTGGAAAGCTGTTCCCACCCCGATGTGGGGGTGGGGCGAATGGGAGGCAAGAGTTGATTCACTCCTGTTTTTCAAACTGAGTGCCTTGGTGGTATGCAGGGTTCAGAGGACTGACTCAGAGTTTGGCCATTCCCTCCGAGTTGGCAGACATTAGAGGCCCAGAGGAAAGATTCTCCTTCACACACATAAATAAAGACTGTGGTACCTACCATTTCTCAAAATTAAAAGGAAGTCTATTCCCTCAAATCCTAATTACTTACCCAGTATGGTATTTATATGCAGGAAGAAGTCAACGATTAATACTCCTTTCAGGCAGTCTGAATTTGTTTTTTAAAATTGTTTCTGGCTTGCTTAAAAAAAAAAAAAAAAACAAACAACAAAAAAACAGCACATACATCCTGCCAAAACAGCTCTGGCTGTTTTGAAATCTAAGTTTAAGTTTATCTATGGCTCTTGCCAGTTTTTAGTGTAACACTGGCTCGGGAACACAGACAAAATGAACAACAGTAAGTCTTCAACCTTGTCTCTACCACACACAGTCACAGTGACAGGCTCCGAAGCAATGCTTTCCGAGGTATTCACCAGAGTCCTCCGTTTATGGCACCTGAACTCTGAACATTTCCCTTCCAGTGGTCCCTCACCCCTGCTCCACTATTGCTTCACCAACTTCTCCTGAAGACTCCTTCTTATCCCTGTAGCAGACAAGTTCTGAAAATAAAACAAGCAAACAAGTTGCTTAAAGCCCAAACATATTCCTAAAACTATTCTCCTGCCTTCTGCACCTGGCTAATCACGGCTTATCACTTATGTGACTGACCACAGAGCCACTTCCTTAAAGGCTCCCCGGCGAACACTCACCGGGTTAGCCTAACCCCCTCTTGGTGCTTATCATAGTTGAAGTGAGCAGTTGATCAGAGATGCAGTTGCAGCTCCGTTCTCCCCGGAACCTCAGCTCCCTAGGGGGAGCACCTGTGTCTCTCTCAGACATAGCTGCATTTCTTAGGGGCCAGGCCTTAAGAAAACATGCGTTTGGGGACAGGAGAGATGGGTCAGCAGTTAACAGCACCGGTTGCTCTCCTGGAGGACCAGAGTTTGATTCCCAGAACCCATATGGTGGCTCACAACCATCTGTAACTCCAGTTCCGGGGAATCCAAAGCCCTCTTACTGGGCTCCCTAGACACTACATGCACATAATGTACAGACATACGCGCAGACAAAATACCTGCACACACACAGTTTAACAAAAATAAAGCATGAGATTGAGGACCTGAGCGGGTTTCTTTGTGGTGGGGAATTGTAGATCCTAATGGTTTTTTTTTGTTTGTTTGTTTGTTTGTTTTTCGAAACAGGGTTTCTCTGTATGGCTTTGGTGCCTGTCCTGAAACTTGTTCTGTAGGCCAGCCTGGTCTTGAACTCACAGAGATCCGCCTGCCTCTGCCTCCCGAGTGCTGGGATTAAAGGCGTGCGCCACCACCACTACCTGGCTTTAGGTTTTAATTTTAAGAGCTGAGAATTGTGGCATGGCAGCCAGCATGTATTGGAACCGTAGTAAGGGTCTTTCCTAGTGTTACTTTATTTCATTTGTTGCAGCAGTACATACCCCAAGGTCTCAAGAATGCCAGGCAAGTGCTTTGGCACAGAGTTATGCCCTCAGACCACGTGGCTTGTCTATATTTTTGATATACCTTTTCCCAGAAGCATCTCCTGTCTCTTCTGATAGAACCTAAAAGATCCCGATCGAAATTAGAAGCTACCAGAGTATCATTCCTGTCTAGGCACTCAAGGGTGGGAATTCTCCCAACATTTTGTCGCTGTTTCAATGTTTATTATAATTTCCTTTGTTCCAGATACTATTGTTGGCTACTATGATTCTAAGGAGGGACAAAAGTCACTAAAACAATCTTGATTCATGCTATATGTTATGCTGCTAGAGGGAAAGAAACCTGTTTCATCTCTGTTGCTGTCTATTTCAGCTTACACTGCCAGAGTCTAGTCCATCACTGAGGGGACTCAGGGCAGGAAGTCAAACATGAGCTCGAAGCAGATAGTATGGAAGAATGCCGCCTGACGGCTTGCTCTGGCTCAAGCTCGGCTAGCTTCCTTAGATAGCCCGGGACTACCTGCGCAGGGAATGGTTCTGCCCACGGTCGGCTGGATCCTCTGGAATCAATTTATAGCCAAGACACAGGGACAGACACAACTTGATAAAGATACGTGAGACTCACTTCTCAGGTGATCCTAGTCTGTGTCACATTGACGGGACATGCTAAGTAGAGCAAACACATATAAAGTTCCATGTTATTTAATCATTCGATCACCACTACTGATTAAACAAGAAAATACGCCATTAGGACATGTTTGTGTCAAATAAGGAAATTGGGGTGAACAAATACATTTTTTTAAAAGGAAACGGCCCTTCAGATCTCCTTCAAATGCCAGATCTGAGAATGGTATGACGTGTGAAACATCTGTTCGGCCCTGAGTATTTTGAAGATTGAAAAATATTGATCAAAGCCAGGGTAGTGCTTCGTGTCTATGACTCCCAACACTTTGGAAACGGAGGCAGGAGGATCAGAAATTCAAAACCTGGACTACAAGAGACCCTATCTCAAAAAGGGGTGTGGGGGAGCTCTAGGTAGCCCAGGGGATGAAAGTGCTTGCCATACAAGCCTGGGGACCTGAGTTAGGATCCCTGGAACCCATGGTGGAAAGACCAAACTGCATTCCAGAAAGTTGGACAACTTGTTCTCTCACCCTGACACATGTGCGCACACACACTCAGGCATTACAGTAATAATAAATAAGGATGTAAAATAATCTTGCTCAGAATGACTACCAAAGCCCAACCTAACATCAGCTGCATGTCACAGCTGAAACAGAGTGTGTGTGTGGGGGGGGGGGCTTCTCAGCTACTGTAAAATAAAATGCACTGTCTTATATAAAGACACGAAAGCACATGCAGTACTGACATTAGGAAACTAGAGAAACAGAAGGCAGACTGCTGGTTGCTAGGGTGTAAGTGAAAGGGACAACAGCAACTGGCCACTTACTAGGAAGAAGGCTTTTTTTTTTTTTTTTTTTTTGAGGTGATGGAAGATTTTGGAACTAAATAGAGGGGGCAGTTATACAAAACTGTGAACATTCTAAATGAAACTGCAATTTTCACTTTAAAAAGTTAGCTTTATTTCGTGTGGCTTTTTACCTTAACAATTGTATCTTATAAAGCACAGAAACAGACCTCAACATAAAGCCAGCCACACTGAACCTTATAGAAGAGAAAGTGGGAAGTATACTTGAACGCATTGGCACAGGAGACCACTTCCTAAATATAACCCCAGCAGCACAGACACTGAGAGAAACAATTAATAAATGGGACCTCCTGAAATTGAAAAGCTTCTGTAAAGCAAAGGACACAGTCAAAAAGACAAAATGACAGCCTACAGAATGGGAAAAGATCTTCATTAACCCCACATCAGACAGAGGTCTGATCTCCAAAATATACAAAAAACTCAAGAAATTGGACACCAAAAGATCACATAATCCAATAAAAAATGAAGTACAAACCTAAACAGAGAACTCTCAACAGAAGAATCTAAAATGGCTGAAAGACACTTGAGGAAATGTTCAACATCCTTAGTCTTCAGAGAAATGCAAATCAAAACAACTCTGAGATTCCATCTTACACCTGTAAGAATGACCAAGATCAAAAACACTGATGACAACTTATGCTGGAGAAGTTGTGGGGTAAAGGGAACACTTCTTTCTGCATTGCTGGTGGGAATGCAAGCTGGTACAACCCCTTTGGATGTCAGTGTGGCGATTTCTCAGAAAATTAGGAAACAGCCTTCCTCAAGACCCAATAATACCATTTTGGGGTATATATCCAAAGGATGCTCAATCGTGTCATAAGGACATGTGTTCAACTATGTTCATAGCAGGTTTGTTTGCCATAGCCAGAACCTGGAAACAACCTAAATGCCCCTCGATCAAAGAATGGAGAAGAAAAATGTGTTACATTTACACAATGGAGTACTACACAGCAGAAAAAAATAACGACGGCTTGAATTTTGCAGGAAAATGGATGGAGCTAGAAAACATTATTTGGAGTGAGGTAACCCAGACACAGAAAGACAATTATCACATGTACTCACTCATAGGTGATTTTCAAACACAAAGCAAAGAAAACCAGCCTACAAACCACAATCCCAGAGAACTTAGACAACAATGAGGACACTAAGAGAGACTTATATAGATCTAATCTACAGGGGAAGTAGAAAAAGACAAGATCTCCTCGTAAATTGGGAGCATGGGGACCTTGGGGGAGGGTTGAAGGGGGGAGGGAAGAGGCAGGGAGGGGAGCAGAGAAAAATGTAGAGCTCAATAAATATCAATAAAAAAATAAAATAAAAAAAGACACAAAACTATATTTACAGAGTACTTTATGATATTTCAGTACATGTGCACCTTATGTCACTGTATAAAAGACAAGCATCTTCAGATTTGGTTTCTGAGGAGATCATGGACTCATTGTCCACAGATATTGAGGGATGGCTGTATAGTGAAAAATAGTGTCTGAATACCAGCTATGTGCTGTACAGTTGTAGAACACACCTTTAATCCCAGCACTTGGGAGACAGATGCAAGTGGATCTCTGTAAGTTTGAGGCCAGCCTGGCTACAAAGCAAGTTCTAGGACAGCCAGGGCTACACACACAAAGAAACCTCAGTCTTGAAAAACCAAAACAAAGCCCGGCAGTGGTGGCACACACCTTTAATCCCAGCACTTGGGAGAAGGAAGGTGGATCTCTGTGAGTTTGAGACCAGTTTGGTCTACAGAGAGAGTCCCAGGACAGGCTCCAAAGCTACAGAGAAACCCTGTCTCAAACCCCCTCCCCCCAAGGGAAAAAAAAAACCAAACAA